TGTCCAAGAAAATGATTGCAGCAAGTTTCTGTGCGACGGAAGCGGGACTGAAGAAATTACCGATACAATCCCGAGGAACTTTAATCTCCCAGGAAGATCGGACGAATTCGGTCCGTACCTTTTCGAATAATATTTCATAATCCCCGGGGATGCATTCCTCGAGATCTTCTTCTCCTCCGCTAAAAAATCGTCCCGTGCACGGAAGCGATCGATCGACTGAAAATTTTGATTCAAGTATCGAGCGTAATTGCAGAGAAAGATTTTGCTCCATAAAGCAGGCGAATTGAAAGCGTGGGTCCGCCAATATGTACGTGTAAACAATTTTCATTTATTCTGCACAATAATTTTATTCTAATCGGGAGATAGGTCAGTGTCAGACACCTCTATTTAATCACGACTTTGTAGAAATGAATTATGTTTTTCATTTTACAATGGAATTTGATAAAAATTGGTAGTTAAAATAATAAATACGTAATAAATATTCAAATTTAAAAACATGGGTCAATATCTAGAAGATGCCTTTTCTGGTCATTACTGTCCATTTCCACTTAATTATTCTTGCTTATTAATTAATAGAGTGCAAAATAGAAATTGTCTGCATTGATGCTGTAACTACAAATAAACATTTATTTCTTTTATTAATCAATTTAACGAATTGTAAATGATACAACAGTACAATTAAATTCTTGAAATGTTTTCACAAGTTTTGATTTGATGTCGCCATTTTCCTCATAAATGATTAAATGATTTCATTAATAGAAATCGGTAGTCCGAAGAAAGCGAAATTCGCGGGACAGAATTGACTGTGTTTTTTACCACAGAGGAGAATGACGAATTCGACGACAAATAAGAGCAGAAGTTTTTGAAAATTCGCAGCAATCGCGGCCCACGCGTCTCCTTAATTTCTTAATTGATTTAGGTCGGATGAAACACGGCTCCGCCGCCGCGCGATACGACCGGGTCGTGATCAATTTAATCAACCGTTAATATAATTAATTTCCACTCGGCGGGTGATTACATTAATTAAATTTAATGGAGCACCGGCGAGAAGAATACGCTGTTGGTCTCCTGGCGATTTTCTCTGTGAGACGTTGCGGGGAAAAACAAAAACGAAACGGCGGAAGAAGTTTTAGGGGGTGTTACTTAAGATCTTTCGTGTCTATATTATTCTTGGTGGTTCGACTCGAAAGAAAGTTCGACGGTTTGATGGTCTTCGATGAGGTGTGTATGACTTTCCCATCTTCGTTGAGCATTTCTTAAATATTTTATCAATATTTTCTGTCGTAACACCGTGGCTGATAAACAACAAATATTATTCCATTAAGATGAAATGATTAAGAAAGATCTCGAGGTCAATTTTGTTTCCCGTATCTTCTTCCTTCTATCATTTTTTTTTTTATTTAAATATTTATTCGTTTCCCTTGAAGCTGCCTTACTTTATTTCGATATGTAATATTTGAAGAAAATAATGCAAGGTTTGATTTAATTCCATTTAATTTCATTTAATTTTATTTGCATTCATTCTGTTTCAAACCTTCGTTTCGAAGTACGACATTCGCGTTATTTCGTTTCAATTAAATCTATTGAAGTTCATTACGTACAAATGTATTTTAATTCACCGGAAGATATCGAGCATTCCGGACTACCGGTTGATTTATTATCATTGTACAGCGATATCGAACGAATCATCGCATTAACAACGCGCGTTGTTTTACATAATACGCGGTACGACTCTATCCGCTGCTAATTATGCCAGGATTAAGTGATACCAGTCGGGCATTGACGAAGCGGCGTCGAATCAACGGCACTTTTGATACAACCGCAATCGCATTATGCGACGTTGAAGCTCATTAAACGAGCCTCTTCTTATCAAATAAAGGCCACTACTACGTGATCACTTCGCCAAATAATGCAACGAACGCTGCGTTATTATTCAATTATACTACCGGCAACCAGAATTTGGCATTATTCGAATCGTTTTATTCGAATCGTAGAAATTCATCGATAAACTATGAAGAAACGCTATATACTATAATCTTTATTCAAGTCGATTACGTTCCGAATTAATTCCTATACAAATAAATTCGTATCCGAATAACTAACTTCTAATTTAGCTGAATTTTTATTCGACTAAACGAGCCTCTTCTTATCAAATAAAGGCCACTACTGCGTGATCACTTCGCCAAATAATNGATGCATTCCTCGAGATCTTCTTCTCCTCCGCTAAAAAATCGTCCCGTGCACGGAAGCGATCGATCGACTGAAAATTTTGATTCAAGTATCGAGCGTAATTGCAGAGAAAGATTTTGCTCCATAAAGCAGGCGAATTGAAAGCGTGGGTCCGCCAATATGTACGTGTAAACAATTTTCATTTATTCTGCACAATAATTTTATTCTAATCGGGAGATAGGTCAGTGTCAGACACCTCTATTTAATCACGACTTTGTAGAAATGAATTATGTTTTTCATTTTACAATGGAATTTGATAAAAATTGGTAGTTAAAATAATAAATACGTAATAAATATTCAAATTTAAAAACATGGGTCAATATCTAGAAGATGCCTTTTCTGGTCATTACTGTCCATTTCCACTTAATTATTCTTGCTTATTAATTAATAGAGTGCAAAATAGAAATTGTCTGCATTGATGCTGTAACTACAAATAAACATTTATTTCTTTTATTAATCAATTTAACGAATTGTAAATGATACAACAGTACAATTAAATTCTTGAAATGTTTTCACAAGTTTTGATTTGATGTCGCCATTTTCCTCATAAATGATTAAATGATTTCATTAATAGAAATCGGTAGTCCGAAGAAAGCGAAATTCGCGGGACAGAATTGACTGTGTTTTTTACCACAGAGGAGAATGACGAATTCGACGACAAATAAGAGCAGAAGTTTTTGAAAATTCGCAGCAATCGCGGCCCACGCGTCTCCTTAATTTCTTAATTGATTTAGGTCGGATGAAACACGGCTCCGCCGCCGCGCGATACGACCGGGTCGTGATCAATTTAATCAACCGTTAATATAATTAATTTCCACTCGGCGGGTGATTACATTAATTAAATTTAATGGAGCACCGGCGAGAAGAATACGCTGTTGGTCTCCTGGCGATTTTCTCTGTGAGACGTTGCGGGGAAAAACAAAAACGAAACGGCGGAAGAAGTTTTAGGGGGTGTTACTTAAGATCTTTCGTGTCTATATTATTCTTGGTGGTTCGACTCGAAAGAAAGTTCGACGGTTTGATGGTCTTCGATGAGGTGTGTATGACTTTCCCATCTTCGTTGAGCATTTCTTAAATATTTTATCAATATTTTCTGTCGTAACACCGTGGCTGATAAACAACAAATATTATTCCATTAAGATGAAATGATTAAGAAAGATCTCGAGGTCAATTTTGTTTCCCGTATCTTCTTCCTTCTATCATTTTTTTTTTTATTTAAATATTTATTCGTTTCCCTTGAAGCTGCCTTACTTTATTTCGATATGTAATATTTGAAGAAAATAATGCAAGGTTTGATTTAATTCCATTTAATTTCATTTAATTTTATTTGCATTCATTCTGTTTCAAACCTTCGTTTCGAAGTACGACATTCGCGTTATTTCGTTTCAATTAAATCTATTGAAGTTCATTACGTACAAATGTATTTTAATTCACCGGAAGATATCGAGCATTCCGGACTACCGGTTGATTTATTATCATTGTACAGCGATATCGAACGAATCATCGCATTAACAACGCGCGTTGTTTTACATAATACGCGGTACGACTCTATCCGCTGCTAATTATGCCAGGATTAAGTGATACCAGTCGGGCATTGACGAAGCGGCGTCGAATCAACGGCACTTTTGATACAACCGCAATCGCATTATGCGACGTTGAAGCTCATTAAACGAGCCTCTTCTTATCAAATAAAGGCCACTACTACGTGATCACTTCGCCAAATAATGCAACGAACGCTGCGTTATTATTCAATTATACTACCGGCAACCAGAATTTGGCATTATTCGAATCGTAGAAATTCATCGATAAACTATGAAGAAACGCTATATACTATAATCTTTATTCAAGTCGATTACGTTCCGAATTAATTCCTATACAAATAAATTCGTATCCGAATAACTAACTTCTAATTTAGCTGAATTTTTATTCGACTAAACGAGCCTCTTCTTATCAAATAAAGGCCACTACTACGTGATCACTTCGCCAAATAATGCAACGAACGCTGCGTTATTATTCAATTATACTACCGGCAACCAGAATTTGGCATTATTCGAATCGTTTTATTCGAATCGTAGAAATTCATCGATAAACTATGAAGAAACGCTATATACTATAATCTTTATTCAAGTCGATTACGTTCCGAATTAATTCCTACACAAATAAATTCGTATTCGAGTAACAACTAACTTCTAATTTAGCTGAATTTTTATTCGACTCGAACTTTATTCGTTAATCCTTATCTCTTATCCGTCAGCCGAGAATAAATTGTCCAATTCTGCCGTCAACATTCGCCAAGAAATTTGTCAATTTTTCATAAAACCTAAAGTAACATCGACACGGAGCAATGGTCGTCAATAAATTACCGACTTAAAATAACAAAGATCGATGTAGCCCATTCAATGTGTTAGAATTTTTAAAGAAAATAAAATTTTGTTCGAACATGAGCCATCGTATTAATTTATATTGCTTCCTGTTTCGATAAAACTTTTGGATCAATAAACAATAGGGGACGGGATACCATTTATGTGAAAATGTTCTGCAACGTGCAGTAATCCGTCTGAAAATATTTTACTAAAATTCCGTTACTCGGAATCGTTTCAAATGTTTGCAGGATGGTCGAAGGGGCTAATTAATAAGATATTAATACCAGGAGTCAAAGGTCTCGGGCCAGATCTCTAACAGAGGGAAAAGCGGGATTCCTTACGGTCGATTATTGGCTAGAGAGAATTCATCAATCGATGCCAGCAAATTGGTATCGCGAAGGGACTTACCGTGAAAAGCTTTCATTAAAATCGGATCCCTGGGATGACAGGACACGATAATCCTCGGACGATCCAGCGGAATGGTCCACGGTTTTTTCTTTTCCCGTCGAGCGGTCAGGAATCTGAAAGAAGGTTAAGAGATCTGATTAAATCGAAAAATTCAATTCCTCCGAGGGGTTCGGTTCTTTAAGCTTCGCGACCCTGCACGGTCATTTTCGATCGTTTCCGATCGCGGACGATTGGTCCGGACCGTGTCCGTCGTCTTTTGCTCGCGATAAACCCGGAAAATCTATAAATGAAAACGGGACTTTACTTCCTCGAGAAAATCGTGCCCTCGTTTCTACATAAAGCTGCAGTTTTATCGACCGAACTCGACGACGATTTATTCCTTTTAATTCACGAAACGATTATAGCTCCATTAACTCTCGAATTGGCACATCATTGTTCGCAATGTAATATAATTGTTTGCTCGAGGATTGTCATTTAAAAATAAAGTTTTAAGATTCCACTTTAATGTGACCGAGTCTCCGAGAAGTTTCAATTCTTCGACAACCCATTACGCCGTTATGGCCGGATACTTCCAACTTGGTTTAGTCGGGCGTTTGGAATTTAGTGCTTTAGGTTTTATTCAATTAAAGGGAAATGTTCATTTATACACGCGCGAGAGACTATACAATGTTTTCTTTAACAGAGAAATAATCGTTCACATGATTTTATAGATGGAAAAAACTCGACGTCTTTGATAAAGATACCACGAATTAAAGAGCAATGTCAGAAGACAAAATGCATTGTATTTAAACGGTGTTTTCTATTCGACAAATAAAAATGAATTACTAATTGATCATTATCAGCGGACACGGAATCTGACAGACAGTAAATATTATTGCTTATTAATCCGTTATCTTTTTCTTGTAAGTTTAAGTTTTCTATGTACAATAATGGAATATTTTGCAATGAAAATGTATAATTCCTGTTACAGTTAATTTATATGTAAAAATTAATAACATATTCATTTTATGAACAATAAATATTGATACCTGTCCGTAATGATTAATGGGCCGAACAAATTAAATTCTTTTATTGTCGAAAGAAGAATGATGCAAGACCACGAGAAATATTCCGAGTTCGATGGCAGGAGAAAGACGGCGGTGTGATTAATTAGATATCGATGTCAGAATCTTAATTCAGGTGTTCCCGGAACGAGGCACGAGCCGAGCGTGCGGTTCGTTCGGTTTTTGTCGTGCGAAAGGGGTTGGAAATCGAGGGTGCTTAGCACGCGACTTTGCAAGGCCAAGTCGTGGGTGGCCATTTTATAACCAATTAGTTTCCCTCTTTAAGAAACTGCCTACGGAAGTAGTACTCTAGTGTCCTTCGGCCTGGTCGAAGTGGCCCGAGAGACTCGACCGTTCCTAACCCCCACCCCTCTCTATCCACGCTACTACCCCCGCGCGACGAAAATAGAAAATCATTGTGTTACGATGACTCCGGTTTTCAATAGAGAGTCACGAACCCCGGCAGAAACAATGGCGTTTTATCGGCGTTATTAATCGACGATGACGCTGCGAGCCGCTTTCACGATGCTCCGTTGACTTTCTGCTGATCTATCCGACCTGCACCGATTGTTGCACATCAAACAATCTTCCCGCGAGCCTGCAGAAAATCCTGGATAAGCTGTCTTCCCTAATTGGCGATTATATAGATATCATTAAATATCGTATGATCCCTAAACACACAATTCACACCGAGCGACTTTTCAAGCGATTTTCACTCATTTCTATATCACTGTTCGATTAATCGTGTTTCATTCAGAATTTCATATTTTTATATTTAATAATATAAAAATTATATATTATATAATTATATAATCTGTCTCTTATACACATCTAGATGTGTATAAGAGACAGATAATAATGTTAATAATTGCTGTCTCTTATACACATCTAGATGTGTATAAGAGACAGATAATAATGTTAATAATTGCTGTCTCTTATACACATCTAGATGTGTATAAGAGACAGATAATAATGTTAATAATTGCTGTCTCTTATACACATCTAGATGTGTATAAGAGACAGATAATAATGTTAATAATTGCTGTCTCTTATACACATCTAGATGTGTATAAGAGACAGATAATAATGTTAATAATTGCTGTCTCTTATACACATCTAGATGTGTATAAGAGACAGATAATAATGTTAATAATTGCTGTCTCTTATACACATCTAGATGTGTATAAGAGACAGATTATATAATTATATAATATTATATTTAATAATATAAAAATTATATATTATATAATTATATAATATTATATTTAATAATAATATATTTAATATTTCTGATACTCGTACAGATCGCAACGGCTGGCTTTGTTTATACAGTTGTATTTTGTATTCGAAACTATCGAATAAATATACAATCGAATGAGGAATTATCTAGATAAAAATTTATTTCTAGATAGAAATCATTCGTTTTTCTTACGATTCTGTGATCATAGAAGTTGATGCTCGCAGTTCGAACATCTAATGTAATCTGATATCTTTTCCTTACGAAAAATATTGTCATTAAAATTACGTTTGCAAAAAGTTGTCAAGTTCAATCGGATCCGCCGAATGCTGACGAAATTATTTATAAATCGAAATAAATGTTTATACGGCTCCCGTATCTTGCAACTAGCGCGGACAATTTTTATTTCGCATAAAAATTCGCGGTCTATTAACGGGTAAAAAAATATTCCTCCGCAACCGTGGATCATGTTTCAGCGAAACGTTAAGTTTTCCTAGCCGTTGTCACGGGATCCTCTTTAATTTCTGACACTTTCGCAGACTTTCTCCGTGCGAACCGGAGACAATAGGAAGCGTAAAGTTACAGAAACGTTAACAAAGGGTGCATTTACATTTGCCAGACAAAGAACGGCTAGGACACACGACACGTCGTTAGAGGGTTAAGTCTCGCGGTTTCCGAGAAAAAAAAGTTCCCGGAAGTCGGCTATTTTTCAGTCCCCCGACTCGAGCGAGCGTTTCCCTGAAGATCTCCGTCTCAAATGCTGAAATTCGTTTATCCGTGAAGCTATACGGTTCCCGACATTCGACTTTTTCGCATACGAACGGGCGCCTGCTTCAAAGTCGCGATCCATTGTCGTTTCCCGAGGGGAAAAATCAGGACCGAGGGAGCCGGGAGTCGCCGATCCGGGCGTGCTCGTCTGTTTCGCAGGTTCTTTCCGTCGGAACGCCGAAGACAATCGACGCGAATACGTGCGGCCCCGTATCGACAACACGTAAAATATTTATCGAACGGGGACGGCAAACAAGGAAACGGAAATTGGAGAGGAAATAGACGGAGCTCGGCCGGCGAGACGCGACGGGAGACGCGGCGTAACGGGAGGAGATCAAAAGACACGTTCCGTAAACTCTTCTCTTCTCGATGGCTGTCAACGGCCTCGTAAATTAGAGGAACGAGGGAAATTTACCTACGCGGAATTTTCAATCGGGTTCTCTGCGTTTCTGAAGAATGTTTGCGCGAACACATATCGGCCGTCGACGTTTTTCGCGAGGCACTCGCCATCCTGTCGTGTCAACACCGATAACTTCAGCGGCCGTACACGTGCTCGACAGGGTTCTGGTCGATAGAAAATTCGTTAACACTTTCCACGATAATATCGGCGACAGCAACAAAGGATTTAAAGTCATTTTAGAATTGTTGACAATCGGGAAATGTCCTAAGCATTGATCTCCTATGATTTAGTGGAGAAAAATATTCTGTTCATTTTATAGTGTAAAGTGTGTACTTCCACGTTCTTTACCTTATTATAAAGAGTATCGCCTAATTTTTTCTAAAAAGTAGGTCGTTTCATAGAACGTTTACGGAAACTATGCTTCTCAGACTCTTTAAAGTTTTTTAAAGCACAGAGTTTGGACAATATTCTCTGAGTTGCCACAATGCGATCGTACAGAGGAATGTTTTCCCTTTACAATGATTCATCCAAAATTGATCTGCGATTTTTTCGTACTGATTTTATTGTATTCCGAACGAAATGTCTCTTGGTCGCTTTTAACAGTCGATATACATTTAAAGTTGGATGAATAGTATCAATTTAAAAAATAATATGTTATAATTATAATAAGAATAATAATATTTTTTAAATTGATACTATTCATAACTAATATGTTACAATTATAATAAGAATAATAATAGTTTTTAAATTGATACTATTCATAACTAATATGTTATAATTATAATAAGAATAATAATATTTTTTAAATTGATACTATTCATAACTAATATGTTATAATTATAATAAGAATAATAATATTTTTTAAATTGATACTATTCATAACTAATATGTTATAATTATAATAAGAATAATAATATTTTTTAAATTGATACTATTCATAACTAATATGTTATAATTATAATAAGAATAATAATATTTTTTAAATTGATACTATTCATAACTAATATGTTATAATTATAATAAGAATAATAATATTTTTTAAATTGATACTATTCATAACTAATATGTTATAATTATAATAAGAATAATAATATTTTTTAAATTGATACTATTCATAACTAATATGTTATAATTATAATAAGAATAATAATATTTTTTAAATTGATACTATTCATAACTAATATGTTATAATTATAATAAGAATAATAATATTTTTTAAATTGATACTATTCATAACTAATATGTTATAATTATAATAAGAATAATAATATTTTTTAAATTGATACTATTCATAACTAATATGTTATAATTATAATAAGAATAATAATATTTTTTAAATTGATACTATTCATAACTAATATGTTATAATTATAATAAGAATAATAATATTTTTTAAATTGATACTATTCATAACTAATATGTTATAATTATAATAAGAATAATAATATTTTTTAAATTGATACTATTCATAACTAATATATTATAATTATAATAAGAATAATAATAGTAATAACAATAATAAAGATAATAATAACAATAGTGTTTAAATGAAATAAAAGAATTACAAAACAAATTGAGAGAATGGCAATGTCGATGAATAAGCAATTTAAACAGTTGCAATCAGATCGCTGTTTTTCTATGCAAAATAAAAATTGTCTTCATTAA